GCTCCCTCTCAATCTCTGCTCTCAAAAATGAACTTTCCCTTTTCAAAAGATGTCTGAGAAAGATGCAGAATTTAAATGCAATTAAATTGTTTGAGTTAATTGAAGAATTTCAGTTGGTAGTCCCCACTGATTAATTTACTTTAACTACTATTATTATTTTATTTATTTTTATTTATTTTATTTTATTTTATACTTTGTTCCAGCCTGTGCATTTAATTTTATTTTTCAAAAGCAGGAGTTGTGATATTTCTTCTTGTATTGAAATATTTGTTATTGACTTGTTATTTGAGATTGTTATTGTTTTCTTATATATTCAATAACAAAAAAACAAAAAAAGTGGAAATCTAAAAAAAAAAATTAACCATTACAGCCAACTGATTCTGATTAAAACTAATTTTTGAAGTAAATTATTTTGTGTATTTTTTTTACATAACATTTGCATACACAGTAATCTAGCGTACTTTAATTAAATAAATCAATTCAAGCTAAAATGTAAGAGTCTATAATTAGGCTATACTGAGCCTGATCTATTTCTACCATCTATTTGGGGGATATTTATTGCCACACTTTGGGCCACTTAAAACCAATTTAGCATGCTGACCTATGTCCTTATGACCACAGTGTACCAATCTTCTGATGGCTACTTCCAACAGGATAATGCGCCATGTTATAAAGTGAATCATCTCAGAATCATTTCTTGAAACTTTTCCACTTAAGTAATTGTGAATTGAGCATATTGACAGACAACATTTTATTTTTTATCTTAAATGCAAATTTAAAAAAAAAAAATTACTGCTCTAAATGTATTGCTCTGTCAGCTTAAGATCTGTTTTGGTCTCTATACTTTAATTAAATAAATCAATTCAAGCTAAAATGTAAGAGGCTATACCTGATCTCTTTAGCCCCATTTACACTACCCTTGAAAAACCGATCCAGGCCCAGACCGGTCCGAGCTTGGATCGGTAACCAGGCCAAGCTCAGTTTTGACGACCGTTCACACGTCACACTTATCTCGGTTATCTCGACTCCTCGCCTCCTAGTGACGATGTGCGGTATTACTGCTAGGATTGAAGGAGGGACTCAAGCAGCTGGTGGCGGTAATGCACCAAACGCTGTTTGTCAACCGCCATAAAACCCAAGAAGAAGAAGACGAAGGAGGAGGGAATCAAGCAAATCAAAATGGCGGCACCCGTCACATTCAGAAAGTTATGCTTGATTATTATTGCTGTACTTCCGTGTTTGCGGTGGGTCAGGCGAAGACGGCAACCTTGCGCGGATGTACTTGAATGGAGTGTGAATCGGCATGTTCAGCCAGTCGGCGATGACGCGTTTTGCTCATGCGCTCTTGTTATCAGAGAACCGAGCCAGGAAAAAACCGAGCCGAACCCACCTCGGGAACTGGTCTGCAGTTAGCGGTTATGTCTATCTCGGTTCAGTTCAGGTTGTTTCCGTTCACACACGACAAGTTATCTCAGTTACTGAGCTCGGACCGGTCTCGGCTCAGTTTTTTAAGGGTAGTGTAAACGGGGTATTTGTATCAGAGATTTTCTTACCCAGGGTTGCAGGGGGGGGGTAAACCCCCCCCCCAGTTTAATTGCAGGGGGGGTAAAACCCCCCCTGCAACCCTGGTTTGCATTTGTATAGCTCACAGCATGTTCATTTACATGTTAAAGCCTCCCATAGAATTCCATGGGGGGGAGGCATGGGGGGAACACTGCCTAAGAAATTCCACGTCAATTTCTGACAATTTACGGGAGTTTTCGTCGAAGCCTGCAAATTGCCGTAAACTGCCGCTAACCTGAAGTTCCACGACAATCTACAGTGCCGTATATTGACGAAAATCCCACTTTTCATGCAGTGTCTCCTGACTGAATCACAAGACACAGTGGAGCATCCCCTTGCACAAATGTTTCATAATCACACACAGACATTAATTTTATAATCATCATTGAATAAGCCTAACAAGGGGCAAAGCAAGACTTGGAAGTCCAATGGCAGAAACTTTTCAGGATCGGGAAATCAGAAACACACAGAATCGCTAGGGTTCCTCTCACGCACAGCTTAATATAGAATAATCTGGAACCAATAGCTGGTAAGAGGCAGTTTAAATAGAAACAGGAACAGGTGGATCTAATAAGAGACAATGCATGCTAGGTCAAGCTAAGCAGGATTGAGAAAGGAGCCAAATCCAGCCATCAGTGCCAAGATCATGACAGAATGACCCAATCTCATTTTTTTCCCAGGTGTTTTGATAAATAAATCTTTTCTTTTTTCATATCAACAAGTTCATATAGATTTAAGTCAGCTTGGATGGAATTTACTTGGGATTTTTTTCAACATCCTGTTTATGTTTTTTGTTGTTGTTGTTGTTGTTGTTTAATATTTAAAAACAGTTAAATCCCAATCTTACAAGTAATCCCTGCAGTTGGGCTATAAAGCAAAACCAAAGAAGACAAAACAGAATTCCCATATTTCAAAATACAGCTTCTACTTCCCATTCATAGATCATACCCCTTTGCCTTTGATGGAGCAACAGCTAGAACTCTATGCAGGATAGGAACGGAGCTATGGAAAATCCTAACAGGCTTCAGCCTCACAGAAGTCATCACTTCAACATTTACGAACATGAATGATGCCAGTAGAATTTTTACTACAGCCTTCAGGAAAAGAACTACAGGAAAAGAAGTTAACCACATTTTATGAACGCCAAAAGCTCTTTGTTATAAAACTTAAAACATTAAGATGTGAACATTAACATGTGTCACAGACATTTTGTACACAGTGTATTAAAAAAAAAAATGTCCACTACAGCTCACAAGACATGTCCATTTTTAAAGTGCATCAGTGATTAAATGTAAACATGGTGATCAAATGTAAACGTAAGAGTGGTATATTATTTACAGTTAACGTTCTGTGCTTTTTGTTTTTTTAAACCCCATTTGACATAACTTTCATCAGTCTAATTGCGGTGGGGAAGAAGCTGTTGCAAAACCAGCTGGTCCTGCATTGAATGCTGTGAAGCCTCTTCCCAGAGGGCAGCAGGGAGGGGTCATTGATGATGTCACGGGCTCGGGACACGCAGCGCTGGGATGGAATGTCTTTAATGGAGGGAAGAGGAGCCCCCATGATCCTCTCTGCTGTTCTCACCTTCTTCCAGTCTGAGGCGCTGCAGCATCCACACCACACAGTGAGACAGCTGGTCAGAACGCTCTCTATGGTGCTTTTGTAGAAGGTGGGGAGGATGGGGGGGGGGGGGGGGGGGGGGCAGGTGGGCTCTCCTCATCCTCCACAGGAAGTCCAAGCGCTTCTGGGCCCTTTGGACCAGTGAGGTGGTGTTTCCAGTCCAGGTGAGGGTGTCTGTGATGTGCACCCCCAGGAATTTGGTGCTGCTGACCACCTCTACAGCTGAGCTGTTGATGACCAGTGGAGCGTGGTTAGGCCGGTTCTTCCTGAAGTTCAAGATGATCTCCTTGGTCTTCTCCACGTTCAGGATGTAGTCCAGGTCGTTTTCATCTCTGATGAGGCCCACCGCCGTGGTGTCATCTGCAAACTTCATGATGTTATTGGTAAAATCATTTCATAAATTATTACATTTTTACTTACAAGTAAGTTTTGAATTTCGTTTGTATTTGTTAGTCCAGCATCATCCACTCAGCTAGTCAGCAGTGTACTTCTGGAAGATGACCCAGCACTCTGGCTAAAGCAGCTGTCTGATCGAGTACGCTGCTCGATAGTATGGAGAAGACAGGATCTTTCCAAAAAATGGAGACGGGAGATTTACTACAGATTTACTTCTAGCTATTATTTCATCCAAATGAAAAATGGAGAACAGATAAGCAGATCATGGCTTGTCTACAGTGAAAAGAAGGACTGGGTTATTTACTTTGGCCTTTTTGGAAACACAGGAAGGAGCAATCATCAAGTGAGTTCTAGTAGCTGCAATGTTTGTTCGTTAGCTAACAGCTCCCTCTGCTGGACAAAAATATCATTAATGAAATCATATACTGGATCTCACTTAATATTAAACACTGAAGATTTGAAAACATTATAAAATATCAACCAGGCAGAGTTCAGCTTTTATATGAGAGTTAATTTGCTATCACCTGAACTAACTCAACACACAAGACATAATGTCTGAACCACGGAAAACAACAGTGATGACACCCCTAAAAGAAATAAGTTAAAATTTAGTCCGGAATCAGAACATTTGGTCCTCATACGTTGATGGTGTAGGTAAACAGAGAGGAATGTCCAGAAGTCTATATTAGAGAAACTAAACAGTCTCTCCACAGCCGCAGAGCCAGCTGGTCAGGATGAGACAGCTTTTCACCTACACCTGAAGGAGAGGGGACACTCTGAGGACCAGCAGGTTATTCAGACAGAATAGATGGTTGGAGACAGAGCTGAAGACAGACTTTTATATCAAAGAGAAACAATCATCTACAAACAGAGGAGGAGGCCTCAGATTGAAACAGGTCCACCCCTTTATAATGGGGAGTGGTTAGAATTGATTCCTTCCTGCTATCATCTCAATCCGCGTCACCATGCAGGTGATGAGGACATCGCTCTGGTAAGCCAGGCCAACAACGACCTTAACGATTCCCCATTAGGAGACCTGTTTCTGTTCAATTTGCATGTTTTCTAACCCATAAAAAAGCTTTTGTTGGGCTGTTCTATAAAGCCTGGAGCTCACTGCTACTCCAGACATTCTGAACTGAAAAAGCTTCCTGGATTGAAGCAAAATGTCTTCAAACTTAAAAACAAAGTCCGGTGGATTGTTTTTAACAATCTTTTGGAACGACTATGATCTGCATGAGTGAGAATCTTCATCAGCGTGTTAAAAATAAATAACTTACAGCTAAACAGGAAGTGTTATGATGCTGCCAAACCACATTCAGGGCCCAATTGGTGGACGTTTCTTTACCCTATTGGTTGCTTCCTGTTCCTGCAGCCCCTCAACCACAGAGGAAGAGGAGGGTCTTACTCTCAGTTTCTGAACATCTCTATCAGAGCTCTGTGAGACACAATGAAGGAAACATCTGTCAGATTTCTGCTCAGTAAGTAGATTCTTTCTGAACATTTCCTGGGTTTCTGTAGATAATTGATGATGGAATCACTGGAATCTGAAAAGAATAGAAGAAACATGGAAAATATTAATAGAACTTTGTGACATAGAGCTATTTTCTACCTGCTGGAACAACATTTACAGTAATGGTCTGAATGGAAACTATCTGAGGTGTAAAATTGTCTTTATGTGAGAAATGATGAAATTGTTTGTTCAGCCAAAGTAATTTTTCTTCTCTTTGTAGTTCTGACCTCGGTTCTGAGATGCACAATAAACCAAGGTTGGTTCACTTCCTGTTTTAAATCCCAAATATTCAGAATTAACATCTATATTTATTAAAATTTTCAGATTTTCTTAACTTTAATTTATTCTTCAAACACTTGCTATCGTTTCTCTGCAAAAACTTTGGATCTCTGATAAATAATGAGTTTTTCATTCCAGCAGCTGGTCTGACTGTGAGTCCCAGCAGATCTCAGTTCTTTGAGTTAGACTCTGTGTCTCTGAGCTGTGAGGAGAACAACAGCTCTGCTGGATGGACTGTATGGAGGAACACAACCAGAGGAACCAGGACTCAGTGTGGAGATGGATGGGGGGAACCAGCTGGTTCTACCTGTAAGATCAGTTATATCGACCCATGGGACAGTGGAGTTTACTGGTGTTGGTCGTCCAGAAAGGGAGCAGCCAGCAGCAGCATCCCGCTCACTGTCACTGGTAAGATCAGACTGTGGAGTTAGTGTTGATGAAGCTGTGTGGAAATGGATGAAATGCTGTAGTTTGTCTCTGTGTTGAGGTGGATCAGTGATCCTGCAGAGTCCTGTCCTCCCTGTGATGGAGGGAGATGACGTCACTCTGAGCTGTCTAACAAAGACCACTCCCTCCAACCTCCCAGCTGCTTTCTATAAAGATGGCTCCCTCATCAGGACTGAGCCCAAAGGTCACATGACCCTCCACCATGTGACCAGCTCTGATGAAGGCCTCTACAGGTGTAACATCAGTGGTCATGGAGCGTCTCCATCCAGCTGGATCTCTGTTGAAGGTCAGATCCATGAAAACAATGTTTCATATTAGTTTAAAAAACATTATTAGTAATTATTTGATAAATATCTTTACTTCAGAAAAACCATCAACTCCTGATCCTCCAACTTCTCCTCCATCTACAACATCTTCTCCATCTCTCTGCCACTTTCCTTCCTACCTTCTCCCGTTACTTTCAAAGATGATTCTTGTGGTTCTGCTGCTGGTTCTGCTGAGGAGACGATGCTTTCAGAGGAAATTTGAAGGTTAGAGGAACCTTGGTCATCTATCCTCTGTTACGTGTCAAAGGTTAATATCACTGATCTTAAAGCATTTTTTGTTTGTTTTATTTTAGGGAATCAAGACATAGAAGAACAAAGTATTACTTACAGTAACGTCAACGAATAACATCATCATTGATAGAAATCAAATGAAGGCGAATTGCTTCTTTTATTTTTTATTTTTATGGATGACAGGAACCAGAACTTTAAGAACTGTTTGATTTCTGAGCTCCTGTTAGGAAGAAGATAAAATATAAGATTTAGATCAGTTTTCCCCTCTGATCACTTTATCTGAACTTCATTATGTTTGACAGACATTTTGATAAAGACAGAGAAGGTTTTATTGCTAAAACACTAACATCTGTTGGTGTTTTAGAAATAAAAGGATTTCAGGAAAAAGACTTTTATTCAAAGAGCTCAGATTATTTCAGAAAGTGACGTCCTCTATTGAAACATTATAGGATGTTTTCTGAACTAGATTCATGTTGAGTGTTTTTATACCAATCAGCTGTTATTAACCAGCCAATAAAGGGTCATTTTAGGCAGATGTAACCTGTGTCATCAACACGCTGGTTGGTCAAAGTCTGAAGTTGATTTTATTAAGGAAGAACTGAAAAAGATTCAAAGGACTCCTATGTTACTATTTTGCATACAGCTTGAAATATTGGCATTATGTTCACTGACATGAAATATAGTCGAATGAAAATGTCAGATATGAGTCAAAGCTACTAAAAAAATTAGAACAAGACAAATATATGCAGGATCCTGCAATAAATAAATCATTTCTGAGGAGATAAATGTTTTCCTTATTTCTGTCGCTCATCTAAAAAATAATTAATTTAAACATTTGTCCATGAAGCAGTTGGCTGAAGCTTTTATAGATTAGTGCTCTATAACACAGTGTTGACATTTAGTGGAGCTGCTGAATGATCTTTATCTGTTCTTAGCAGGGAGGAGCATTAGTTCGGTTGGTTCTGTTCAGTCCGACTTCGAAAAGACGGAAGTCTTGCTGGATTTAACTCAGGAAATTCAGTCCTTTCATCCAGCAGACCTGAATTATTCTGATGCAAACAACAGAGGCAGATCTGCAGGGCTTCATTCAATCACTTACAGGAGCCTTAGTATGGCCGTCCCCAGATAGCTTTAAAGCAGACAGCTTAGACAGGCTCCCATCAGCAGCTGAACCAATGGGTCATGGTGCGGCGGTTTCACAGTTCAAGGCAGTGGCAGAGCCAGTATAGAAAAAGGTCAGCAGCTTCTAGCCGCTCCTGAAAGCAGGAATTGGGCTGCAATGTGGGCCAGCCAGAATTAGATAGTTTTCTCACCTTCTTCAGCAGGCAGGTTCATAAAACTCTGCGTTCAAATTGGTTTGAAAGGCAGAAAAAAAGGGAATTCAGATCTTTCTGAATTCTAGGCAGTCTGAGTCGGCCAGTAAACAGAGACTCTTCTCCAAAGGGGATTTGGTGGCTACAGACGTAGCCTCAGGTGAAAACCAGCATATGTCCCCCCTTCCTAGGCCTCAAAGTCGCAGGCAAGAGAGAGTGTTGAATAGGAGTCGGTTGCTTCATTAATCTGGGATGTGACGTCAAGGGGGATTCGCTATTGATTTGTCACATTTGATCTTCAACAGTATGAACTCATTTTTTAAACTTTCCTTTGGGCTCTGAGGTAACAGTTATATGAGGTAAACGCAGCAAGAGAAGAAGACAGAAAAATCACACATTGGCTACAGTAAAAAAAACATTTGACAGCCAATTAGAAAGTTTATCAAATGTAGGCCTACATGTTCTTATCAATCTAGAAATAACTATTGGGAGGCAAGTAAAAACTGTATATATGCTTCTTTATATATGCTGTATATATGCTTCTACTGTATCTCCTTGTGTAATGACCAGAAAACAGGAGATCCAGAGTTCAACCAGATGCACCAGATGGAGATTAAACAGTTTACTAAAATATGAAACTGCTGCAGTTCTGGAAGGATTCTCCAGAGTCAGCAAACAGAACTTCTGGAAAGGGACTGAACAGGTAAGTGGCCAGGCAGAAACCAAGAGCAATGTTTCCAAAGGTTCACTAACTTTCTCTAAATTTCAGGACAAACTTTGCAAGTTTTTGAAGAAGCCTGTTGTGGTGTGATGTCACTGGTGAATCTCTGAGGATTCTTGAATCCATCCAGGTTAGTTTGGAGGAATCCTTCCTTGACAGTCACTTGTTGGTCCAGGAGAATGCACAAGGCCATGGTTACAGAAGGAGAGTGTTGGCCTAGTGGGTCAGAGCAGTGCGCTTGTGCTCTGAGAAGGTTGCATGTCCGGTTTGATCCCCACAGCCTCTCTTCTGGGTTCCTGAGCAAAACCCTTAACCCCTGATTGCTCCCTGGGCACCACACACTGCGGGCCCACTGCTCCCCAATGCAGAGAACAAATTTACACACAGTCAGCAAGAAATGATTTTTGACCCAGAGACAATGAAGAGGGGAATCCAAGAATCGGGTCAGAGTCAGATTTATGTGTCCAGAGATAATCCAGGGCAGGATCCAGGTGCACAGAAACAAGGTCAGAGATCCAAAAACCCACTATGACAGGTCTGACAGGGTTCAGGCAGACTGAGAGGCAGAATGAGGTCAGAATCAGACAGGCAGAAAGGTAACAATCCTGGACTAAATTCAGCAAATAATCTGGCACTAGTGACTGGTCTGAGAACTGGTTTGGACGGGGCATCAGTCCATCAGGGGCATCCAGGTGAATCTGATGGACGGGGCATCAGTCCATCAGTGGCATTCAGGTGAATCTGATGGACGGGGCATCAGACCATCAGGGGCATTCATTCGAATCTGATGGACGGGGCATCAGTCCATCAGTGGCATTCAGGTGAATCTGATGGACGGGGCATCAGTCCATCAGGGGCATCCAGGTGAATCTGATGGACGGGGCATCAGTCCATCAGGGGCATTCAGGTGAATCTGATGGACGGGGCATCAGTCCATCAGGGGCATTCAGGTGAATCTGATGGGCGGGGCAGAGCTGACAGGTGTGTTAAATGATGAATTAAACCAGCACTAGTGCCAAGAATTATGACACCATGAGCCCCCAATCACCATCTGCTCAAGGCCAACCACACTGAGCCTGGTGCTGCTGGAGGTTTCTTCCTGTTAAAACTGTAGCGTGTAATGTGAGGAATTGCTTTTGAGCGCAATCAACTGCTTTTCCTTAGAAAACTTTGAACCTGGATGATCTGGTAGAATTGTCACAGCCCCTCACTCTAGCTTTGGCTCGCTGTCTGCCAGGTATGCTTGTCCTATCTTCCCTGGTTCTCTGCTGCTCTCCTCCTGAGCTAGCACCAACAAACCAACGCCTCTCATCTGCTTTTGCTAGGCTAGACATTTTTCTGGACAGAGAAATCAATTATGGCCGGCGTATAGGATCCACTATGGGCCACAGAGGGAGGATGAGAAAACGCTGATACTGTTCTTTGCAAACTCATGCCTCATGCTTCACGTGCTCAATGTAATCACTGGTTGAAAGGCTTTAGTGATTGACAGACTGAGAACATAAAACACCTTAGATATTTCATTTCATTGAGCCTTATATATTTACATTATTTATTGTTGTCACAAGCGGGGGGTAAGGTTGCTTAACCCCAGGCTCACACTGACTCCGGTCTTACCGTTGCGGTGCGGTGGGTGCGGCGCCGCAGTGATTCCAAGTCATTAAAAAGACGTAAACCTCTCTCACCGGCTGCTGAGCTGTCCGGCTGCGGTTACCGAGACACTCCGGCGCTGCAGAAAATTCCGCAAGAAAGCTATCCTTGCGGCGTGCCGGAGCCCTCCGCAACAAGCTCTCGCAAAAATCCTTTATTTGGGCCGTGTTATCGCGTGAAGTTACGTGAACTCAAGTGAACTTCTGTTAAATCTCCGGACCTGTTAAGGGAGCCGCACCGCGCCGTAGTCAAAAGGGCGGTGTGAGAGGGGGTGTGCGGGAGTTGCGGTCTCCGTCGGCTCGGTAACTGCACCGGAGCCAGTGTGAGCAAGGGGTAAGGACCCAGATGCAGAGCCGAGTGAAGCAGAGATTAGTTCTGACAGGTTTAATTGAAGAACAAGGAAACAGAGGTACAAATCCAGAAATCTAGCTAAAATGTTTAACAAACCAAAAACCATGGAGACATCAGGGGAAAAAACGAGGCTGAGAAGCCACGGGGAGATGAACTGAGTAGACGAGTACAGCATAGAGAAGGAACCAGCACTGAGTGACTGCAGAGGTGGAGTATTTAAGGAGAACAAAACAAAGGATGGACTAACGAGCTGAATGGGGAGCAGGTGTGGGTGGAACTGGCAAGAGGGAATCCAAGGGGACAGAAAACAATCACAAGGGGGCAACAGAGAGTAACTAAAGAAAGCTAGAATATTATGGAAAATAAAAACAAAACAACTGATAACAGAAAACTCAGAGTCACAACAAATGAGAACCATAACAATTGTTTTATCTTGTTTGCTTTTGAGTGTGAAATATTTTTGCTTCTGAAGTGCAAATTAGCATTTCTGGGACGCTCTATTTGAACATTTTTTTCTATTAATGGAAAAGAGGAGCCATAAATAATCTTTGTGTTTCAAGTAAAGTGAAACCGCCAAACAGAGGATAAGGGTGACTCTTTAATTCCTCTGCGCATTTAATATATAAAATAAACTACTGTTTCTGTTTTTTAACGTTTTTTTTTTTTTCTGTTCCTCCTTGAAAAAAGGCGGGCCCCACCCTGGCCCCCCTGTTGAAGTTGGTCTAGAATCTCCACTGCTATCATCAAAACTTTGAACAGAAGCAGCAGCTACACAGAACTGAGAGCTTTAAGCTCAATGAAATAATGAGCCACATTTATATTGTATCTTCATCAATTCATTTTTAACTGAATCACTTCCTCAACCTAAAAAAGGTTTAAAGGTACACTATGCAACCGGTGTTGATTTTCCAGTGAGGCTCCCCCCAGAGGGCGAAAGTAAAAGTGCACTGTCGTAAATATGCTCAGCTGTTCACCTGGTTTCTCCGTCAAGCCAGGCGCGGTTGTTTTGAGCTTAGCAGCGAATGACTAACGCTGCGTTCACACTGGATGTAGCTGGCGCGACAGAAGCAGCGAGTTTACATGCAAAGGTCCCGCGGTGCGTTTTGAGCTGCAGGCGCAGCATGTCTGAGCGGCTGCAGCAGCGCGTCGGGTGAGAGACAGGGAGAGAGACACAGCGCTGATGA